CATCGACTGCCAAAAATTGGAATTGAAAAAGTCATGATAACCAAAAATTGCATGCTGTGTGACTTTGAATGACAGATGAGTTTTCCTTGCGGCTGCAACGGCAACGACTAACAACTAAAACAACTAAAACAACAAAGCGTTTACAATGAAAATGTCGCGCACGCGTTTGCCAAAAACAAGAATCGAATATGAAGAAAAACACCAACAAATGACAGCTGGGAAAAGCAACAACAACAACAACAACAATGACACCTACAACAACGATTGTGGGTGGGCGCAGGACAATGCCAATGGAAACTTAATTCAAAATCAACAATAAACAAGAAAATATGAAAGGAAAACAGTTTAGCAGGAAAAAGAACTATCAGATAGATACCCTTAAGAAAAGAAAAGTCCACCTAGGGAATAAATAAAATATAGGGAATTGAAGACCTTGCCTTGGTAATCTTCAAAGCTAAAGTTCATCCATTGAAAACCCAACATACCCTCCACATTCAAAGGGTATCTAAAATGGCGGAAACGGAAGGAACGGAAGTTGGCAGCGCCACAAGACGTTGACGTTGACGTTGGTCGCCGTGTCGAATGGAAACTAGAACCTCTGCCATGCCGTCCTGCATACAAAACTCGATGAATGAGGAGCCCAAACCGAACAGAAGTGAGCCAAAACCGAAACAAACTGAACCTTACAGAACCGCTCAACGTTGTGTCGACCTTTGGGTTGCCTTTTTTTGTTGTTTTTGGTGTTTTGGCCTAACTGACTGACTGACTGACTGACTGCCTGGATGGCTGGCTGGCTGACTGGGCTCTGGCTGCTTCCGCTTTTTACGTTCATTGCCTCTGCCACAATTTTAATTTTCCTAATGGATATCGATCCCAGAGTCGGAGTCGTCGTCGCAGCAACAACAACAACAACAACTGGCTGGCAAAAAGGATAATAGACTTCTTTATTGTGCATGCGACTCTATAAAAGTCAACTCCTGGACTTTGTTGTGTATACCCGTGCTCCGCCGCCAGACTATACTCTGTGTGTGTGTGTGGCACTGTGGGAGTGTGGCAGTGGCAGTGTGGCATTGCGGCAGTGTGGGAGTGGAAGTTTGGTGGTGGACACACACACACACACACCGACAATCGAGGCCAGACACAGAACGTTGTTGCATAAATACTTAAGCAACAACCTCACACAATAAATAATCTGCTACGTCATGCAAAAGGGAAACTCCAGCTCCATCCTTCAAAGGAGCTCCTGCAGGGGTTGGCAGACATTGAAAATTAGATTTCAACCAGGCTTAGATAACTCATTCCCCCAGTCGGAGCCACCCCCCGCACCCTATCGTGTGTGTTATCCAACCGCAGCTACACGTTGCAAAATGTTTATTTGAAATTTCGTTCAACATCTGCCTGCTGGATCCGCTAAAGTGCGAAAATTAAATGAGCCACAAGTCGGAGGTAGGCAGGATCCACATCCCCCTCCCCCTCCCCCTACCACCATCGTTCTCCTCTGTTTGTGTAGGTGTTTTTGTCTATTTTCCTGCTTCTATTTACATGGATTTTTGCCTGGTTCTCATTTCGAGCAAATACCATCTCTGGCAGCTGCCTCTGAGAAGCAGCTTGGAAATTGCCTAAATCATCATTTTGTTCGAATTTGTGTTTATATTTGCATAGAGGATACCACAACATTCGTTGGGCACAAGGGATGGATGCTGGCGAAAGTGAATCTTGAGATTTGTTAGAGGCAGGCTTTTTAATTAGGAGGAATACAAAGGGGAGAAGTGGCAGATGATTGTGCGAATGGAGGCCACTTTTGTTGAGATAATTATATTTTGTAATAATTACATTACATTAATAATACATGTAGGACCTGCATAGTTAACAAATCTCTTCATCTACAAATGAATTAGTGAGGAAAAGAGAGAAGTATTCGCTGGAGCGTTTCATAGATTTTATGTCTATAATATATATCCTATGGGGTTATAAAATTTGGTTCAATATATATGACCCATCTGTGTCTTCAATGGAACATATGTTCATATATAGATTCTCGTTGAACGACTATAATTCGAATGAGTTCAGTTCTTTAGTTCTTGGAGCCATGACTCGGAAAAGTAGAAGCATAAAACCACCCACAATTGATAGAATATGTTCCATGGATCGGAAACGATTGGTTTAATTCTTTGAATGGATGTTTTAAGCTGGGAATTCTGCATTAGTGCATTTTGGCGATGATTTTGCTGCCATTCTTCACTGTTTTCCACTTGCTTCAACCTTAAAATTCTCCGTCTTCACTGTCCTGGTAATCCCAAATGTAGAGCCTCCAAGAATAACTGGTTATTTAGGTATTTATAGTCCAATATCTTTTAAAATACATTACATTGGTCTGGGGGGACTGGTCTTGCACCTTCCCAAGGATTAACCATTAAGATTACTTCTGGTTTTTCTTTCTTATCGCTTGTCTTATCCCTCTGGGCTTCAAGTTACTTATTCATTATCCATACAACACCTAGGAGCTCCATTCAATTTCCTATATCTCACCCAAAAGATCATTCTCCCTCATCCTCTATGTATTCTGGTTACCCCTTCATTAGCCACCGCCTTAGACCACCTTTTGTTTAGTGAATTACTTGACCAGTTTATCCCATCTCTCACTCATTACCAAGTAACAATCACAATTAGAGCTATCAGGGCGGCTAAGACCCTCTTCCAGGAAGAAGTTATGCCACCAACTTATACAATTAAGTCCAGAATAGAGACAGAGTCAGAGAATGAACTGTCAGTTAAGCTTCAGCTGATGGAGGAGAGCCCTGATGGCTCCCAAACATATAACCGCATTCAACGATTCCGGGAACCTCGAGATCGAGGTCCAGTCTCCCGCACAGCAAAGACAAGTCCAATTCAATTTCAATTAAAAGCGAACTATCTTGCAACCAACAAGTGGAGCACACTGCCCCCCAAATCGATGCGATTCCGACGATATCCCGGCAACCGTGTGCCGGGCGGCAGCTTGAGTGACATGTCCTAATTCGTAAGCGTTGACTTTTACCGGCATTTCAATTAACCCAATTAATGGACGGGACCTAATTAAATTTTGAATTCATGTTCATGCTACTGCACACACACCCACATCCGCAGAGCGAGAGCGAATACCCCGCACACAGATACACACAGAGAGCGAGTCCACAGATACAGATACATCAGTCAGCTGTTTCTCTGCTGGCCAGCTGTCGCTCTGCTCTGCTCGGCTCGGCTCTGGCCTGTGTGTGCAAAGGAGACGGCGCGAAAGCTTTACAGTGGCGGCGACGGCGGCGGCGGCGGGTTAATGGGGGTGGCTATTGCTGGTGGGGGGTGTGGGGTGGGTGGTGGCTCTTGGGGGGGTCTGTAACAAGTATGTACTAATGTCGGCGTCTGGCTAACTGAGACACGGCTATGAATGAGTGTCCCGAACGGAGCTTGAAACTGAAGCTCGATGACCTTGATTATACAACACACACACACAGACACACACAGACACACACATACACGCGACACGACCCCATCCGACCTCTCCACCCCAGCACAGTGCCACTCCTCCTTCAACCCTGCGGAAGGAAGAGCAGCGTCAAATAAAAATGGCAAAAATAATGCCCCCAGAGAGACAGAGAGAGAGAAAGAGAGGAAAGGTAGCTGGTGCTGGTAACTGACATTACAACAAATCATCGGGCAACAAATGTTGGCAACTGGGTGCCAAGTCAACGAACTGCTAACCACAACACAGGCCCACACAGATACACAGATACACGGATACACGGATACATGTAGGAGTGGGCCTTGCAGGCGTGGCAAATGTCATTAAAATTGCAACAGGGGCCTTGAAGGAGGACCAGAAAGACACACGGGAGGGAGGTAGGCGGGGAGCAGGAGATGCTCCACCACACAGGAGACCCAAAAACCAAAAGACAAAATCAAAAGATCAATAATTATTATGATGTTAGCTGGCAGAAAAGCCCCAGCACACGGAACAGACACCAAAAACTAGACGTAGTAGAACCGCAAGAACCCAAGCCAAGTCAAGACATGTACAGACATCGCCACAGTGGGGAAAGGAAGGGGGGCCATGGAGCGAAAAGTTCGACAAGCGCATTACACACGGCCCAGCAATCATCGTTGGGGGTAGGGAAGGGGCTGTTGAGAGAGCCAGGGTGCAGGGTGCGGGGTGCAGGGTGCAGGGTGCAGGGTGCTAGGTGCGGGGTGCAGGGTGCTTGGTGCGCGGCATTTGCTTACAAGTGCAACCATTTTGTAGTACAAACTTCGAAAACCAAAAGCGAAAATTGGCAAAACAAAAGGCATACGACAAGCAGAGAGAGCCAAAGGGAAAAGCGGGGTAAAGGAAAAGCGGATGGACTGGATCTGGATCTGGACTGCCACCATTCCGAGATGCCTCAATGCCGTGTGTGTGTGGATTGTGGAATGTTGCAATGTTGCTCCAGCTACGTCTACGGCTAGAGCTCCCAGCTGGAGCGGTTCATGCGCACTGAACTCAACCGATTGGCCCGCTTCGACGCCATTTAGAAAATCCCATAGAGTGGGTAGCCAAGGCGAGAGAAAGAGAGAAGAGACCCCGCCAGCGAGAGAGACAGAGCACGGGGTGTGCGAGCAGTGCGGACAAACACCTGTTCCTGTTTCGAACTTCGAGACGCCCAAAAAAACACACGACGCGCATCTGTTGTCCGAAAAACGAAACACCACCAACAAGAACAACACGACGAGAACCGGTTGCAGCGACAGCGACGCAGCCCACAAACGCCATATAGCGGTGCTCTTCTGGCACGTGGGGGACTGCGCGAGTGCCAGACACGGCCGCATTTCGGGGTGACTGCTGCGTCGTCGTTGCGGTGTCGTCTCGGGCTGAATGGAACGACCGGTTTAGTCGTTCAGCATTCTCAGCACCGTTAGCATCGTACGAACGAAGCGCGTCTGTCTGTCGCACGTTTGTTGATCGTCGTCGTCGTCGTCGTTGTCGTTGTCGTCGTTCTCTCGTCGTCATCATCGTCGCTCGCACCACTCGTCGTCGGTGTCCGGAACACAGGCGCAACCACATCTCATTCGCCCCGGGCCACAAAAAAATCACAAACGTCGGGCAAGTCGGGTTGCCGTCGCCTTTTTGGATACGAAACCGAAACTCTTTTTACCTGGCTCCGGCTCCGGCTCCGTGTTACCTGTTCGCGTGTGCCGATCCATCGGAATAATCACCCAAAAAAGGAAGAATCATCGCGTAGAACGTAGAAGCAGTGTGTGTGCCAATCTCTAACTAAACTGAAACTGAATACAAGCAGTACCAGTGCCTTAAACGAGTTTCTAGAAATTCAGATTCATTCAGAGATCTCAACCCGAGAATACAATCCAAAATACTCTTTGCTCAATGCCCGAGACAAGGCAAAGGCAACGTAAATTTCAATATTTTTGAGTTTTTCCTTCCACACCCCCCACCCACACACCCACCCACCCCGTCTCGAGTGTGTGTTTGCCGGGGTTTTGTAAGCCAAATATATGGTAATGGCAGAGATTGGTGGCCATTTGGCTCACCAGCTACCATTGCACAATCACAACCACAATCAAACTGGATTACAGCCGTCGCTGGTGATGAACCATCACCTGGACTTGGATTGTCATGGGCATGATGTGATAAGTAAGTAATCAAAACCAATCAAAAGAACCCAATTCGTATTCCCAGGCAGTTTCTGGGGGCATCTTTTGAGGGACAAATCTGTTAAGAAACATCCACAAAAGTAGATGCGATTTCTCATATATTTCTAAGTACTTTAGATACCTTTAGATAGGCCCCTATTCGATACGTTTTCATCCTCTTTCTCGCCACTTTCCTATAAAGTTTCCCCCCCATAATATTAACCATGGACTATCCAATAATTGGACTATCAAAATACAAACCAACTACACCTCATTGCCTAGAATCAGAGCCAAGTGTTTTTCTGTGCCATATCGTTTACCGCTAATAAAGCTATTCAAACGAGTTAATGACTTATTTATAGCCCTTGTCGCAGTACCCCGAATAAAAATTGGCAAATTAAACTGTCATTAAAAAGTGAGCGAAGCCTAATCGCGGCGTAGTCACTGAACTGTAACTTTCTCAATCCATATGTTCAGAGATACTCGAACGTACAATGAAAACAGTTTTAGACATTAAAAGCCCATAAAAAGGTGTAATCACAGATGGTTTTGGTACAACATTTGGTTTGCCAATTATGTACGTACAGATCTGGCCTAAAGATCAGGGTTTTGGTGCTGTTTTGGGTTCAAAATTCAAAGTTTCGATAAAATGCTGTAAGGTTTAAGGGCTGTTGGAACTGAGAGCAAGTTTATGGGAAGACATTGAAAAAGGTGAAGCTTGTGCTGAACTCTTTCTTATGGTCAAGGAGAAGACCTCAGGGCTTGACATAAACGATCTTTACTGAATGTTTTATATAGGTATTACAAGATCAAGAAAATTTAATGGAAGATTCGTAGCTATAAAATAATTCAACTCAAGTTCCTCACGCGGTGTGCCAAAGTTTGCCTCGTAAAAAGAAATTTTAATTCTCTCTTTGACCTTATTGTGCGAGTTCTATCTGTGCGAATTACGGTCATGAACCGATGACAGATCAGACTTATCTTTGCAATGGGCTTTGCCTTTGTAATGGGCTTAGGACTTAACGCGACTCGGACGCCGCCGCCGCCGCCGATGGCAATAACTTTTAAATTATAGCTGTATTTTATTTTAAGCACAATTTACATATATAATATAGAAGCCAATTAACAGTTGAATGACATTTTAATGTTGAGCAATTAAAAGCGGTCAAGCCAACGGCAACAACAACAACAGCCCGAACGGCGAAATTATCAAAAATGTATCCCATGCGATTTAGTGTCGGGCAATTTTTAAACTAGACAAAAGTTGTTGTTAACCCGAAAATGCATTTTATAAATTCATAAACCAAAAGTGTCATTAAAAAATGTACTGCGTGAGCGTGCCAGAGGAATATGTTTTATTTAAATTTTATTTCGTGTGTGCTAAATTGTGACAAATGTTACGCCTGACAGTTGTCTAACCAAACCGAACAAAAGACCGCAACAAAAAAACAACAAAAGTTAACAACAAAAAATATCATAAAACATGAAAAATCATAATCATAAGCACAAATGCAACAAAGAGTGAGGGGGAGAGAGACAGAGAGACAGAGAGAGAGACGGCTATTTAATTATGAATGAATCTGGACACACACACACACTAAAGATACATAGATACATGCTGGCCATCTAACTGTGGAGCATTTAAATTGCATTGAAATTTTTGTAATTGTAATTTAAATTCGAATTAGTTTCGCTGCTAAATATTTGATGAACGGACATTTTAATTTGAAAACTTTTCGCAAAAGTTTTTCCCTCCCTCTCCCTCTCTCTCTCTCTCTCTCTGTCGCTGTCTGACAAAACTTTAAGTTTTAGTTTTTAGTGAAAACAATTTTTGTTTTTTGTTATTTTTTTTTAGCCCATCCTCTGGGCCGTTCCACTCTCTTTTTTGTTTTTGTTGGTTCAGTCGCAGTCCGAGCTGGAGGTTTTTGTTTGTTTATTTGATTTTTTGAGCGCTGTAAACATTTTAATGAGTTTTTCATGTCGCAGCCACCTCCCTCTCCCCCCTCCCCTCCGGCCACAGTCAACATGTCGCCGCTAACTTCTCAAGTAGTCGTTAAATTAATTAAATATAGTAGAAACAAAAAGAAAACCTTACAAAATGGCTGAAGCGTACTTTGCTTACACAAGATATCGAATATGGAATATGGAATATGAAATATGGAAAAACCAATGCATACTTCAGGGCGTTTCACTCACGGAATAGTTCTTCACGTTCGGGCCATAAAATAGTATAAGTTTATGCCGAAGACCATAAAAGATTGACAATTATTTGCGGCCATAAAAACGCTACGATTTTTATTTTTATGATTTAGCAATTAGCTGAAAATCTAAATAAAAATATAAAGAGTATCCAACAGATACTTCTTCGCTAATCGCATTTATAGTTATTTCATTTAAATCGTCCAGCTACTAAAATTAATCGTATGCTAATTAACATTTTTTTTTTTTTGGTTTTGGGTAACGTCAAAATTTTTTCGAAAGTTAATTGTGAAAAATTGATTGAGCAAATGCTTAGCCAATTCACCAAAACAAAAGTTGATATAATTTTTGAAACAATTTGTCAACTGTCAGACACCGAAATGCTGTGGGGGCCCCATATAAGGTTAAGTTGTTCGAATGTCCAAAGAGAATGGTACGGTGCTCGGACGAGAGTGATAGTCCAAGACATAGATCAACAACGGATCGTGGATCTCGGGGGGGATCCATGTCTATTTATAGATACGCCGAAACGTGAGTGAAAGGCATACAATACGAGCCATAAAATTAATTATATGACCATTCTAAACGAGGCTCGATCGATATTTGATTACAATTTGCTATGCATTGATTTTTCGTGGAGCATTTTATGGGATATATCGAAGGTTTCCCTTAGTCAAGGTTTTGGTTCAAACTAAGATTTTCTTAATATTCAATATTCAATTGTTTTCCATTTTGAATTGTGAAATATTCTGCATTGATGACATCACAAAAAGGGCCACACCCATTAGTGTGCCAAAGCCAGACACGACACTATCTATATTTTATGAGTTCCTATCGAAATTCCTGGTCGTTTTTTGCCTTCCCGTTTCCGGTCAGAATCCCTGCTGCTGCCTCTGGTGCTGCCTCTGGTGCTGCCTCTGGTGCTGCCTCTGGTGCTGCTCCTGCCTTAAGGGGTGTGATAAAGTTATTTAGGCGCAATCCATAAATTCCCGTACCAAAACAGAGACCCAAACGTAAATCCCAAAAGCTTATCTGATTTTGCACTTCGGGTCCCGGGCCGAACCGGGCCGGGCCTGGCACTAGATCAATATGTTATGGACAGAGTTGTCCCCGTACCTGGGACGGGACCCAAGACAGCTGTGCGCCTGCGCCGTGTGTCGCCTCCCAGGCATTTGAAATGCATTTGCACGAGTATCTGTGTGTGTGTGTGTGACAGAAGCAGACGGGGAACCCGAGACCCGAGAGAAACACACTTGGTCTAGAAGACAGTTGGCAGATATCAAAACATCAAGTCCAAAAAATCCCAAAAATCTGTCCCCTGTCCCCAGGTAAATTTTCGGGCCAGAGTTTTGTATTTTGGTTCTGTTTTTGTTTATTTTTGATGCCTCTGCTTTAATTAACAGCTCGTTGACTGGCGAAATTAGAAAATTATGCCTGGAATTTCCGTTCACAGATGAGCCAGTAATTTTGGGGGTCTGCTGATTAGCAAAAAACAAAGCAAAAATAGAGGAAAACGATAATGAAGTGGAGTGCCAATAATTGCTAAACTAGTTGATTGAGGGTTTCCCAATGAAAGAAGGAAAATGGCTATGAAATTGGATAAGAATTGGTTAATTTTTGGCTTTAATTGTGAAGAAGATTCTTTTCCTCATTCAGCTTTAAGGAAATGTTTAAAGTGTCACTGAATTATTTAAACTAAAGCCTTCGCCTTAAACTACATTTAAACAGTGGATTACAAAGCTGTAAAAGTAACCAAAAAGATTACATATCCCCTTCCAAAACATCTCTATTATACAATATAATTTGTATTCCATTTTCAACCGAAATATCTTAAAGCTCGGACCCTGCTCAATGACTCCGCAGATACTCTCTAACCTAATTAATGCACTTCAAGATATTCTCCCTTCCCCCCCCCCCCCCTTCGTCTGACCACCCCTGGAATTGGGCATATTAAAGCAGCCGACAACCTATTAAAGTGCAATTAAAATTTTTTTGAAATTCTGTTTTCAATTTTTTTTTTTTTTATTTTTTTTTTAAAGTTCATTCAAGGTGTCAGCGGCTTGTCAAGGTGAGAGCCAGGCGGCGGCTACTGTTTGCGCTCAGTCAGAAACGAACTGGAAAAAATATTAAATTTCAACTGGGGAAATTGTCAGAGAGAGCCCGAAGGGCGGGGGGGGGGGGGGGGGGCGACACGGCGAGACAGGGACAGCGAAACAGAGAGAGAGAAAGACTGTGAACTGATGAATGTTCAGGCCAAAAATTAGTTGAAACCAACCAAAAACCGGAAGAAGAGAGTAGTTTTCAAGGCCGAAGCTTAAGATACCCTGGAAGAATGAGGGTTCTTATAGAGATATAGGAATAGGAAGAAAAGCTATGAGTTATTTACATATATCCTGCGTCCAGGGGAACGAAGGGACTCTTAATGTGTTTAATCTTCGAAACTATCAGTAGTTTCTTAGAGACCTAAAGACCATTCATGTTTTTCGTTCTAAAACCTTAGGGGTAAGCGTTCTACTTACTCGGTTCTGTGCTGCGCCAACCCCCGGCTCACTCGCTTCTATCCGAAATAGAGATATGATGCTGATTCTTCCTTCGATGCTTATAGGTTATAACAGTGCCTACGCTTCTCATTTACAGAACTCTTCTGGTAGTCGTAATACCTTCTTTCAGAGTATCTATGTATAGCGACATGCCACGCCCGTTTATCGCGTGAGATGCAACCCGTATGGGTGATTGGGGAGTATCCGCGACTCGTGCCTCTCCCTGGGTTATCCTCCTCCCCCCTCCACCACCCCCACCCGC